TTATGGATCCTGAAGGTTTCACGAGTGGCTTATTCCGTTGGAATCCAACAAGAGCAATGGTTCAACAACCACCACCTCAGGTTCCTCCTCCGCCGCAGCAATCTCCGACAACGCCGCATACGGCGGCTGCAGGAGCTTTTGGGATGCGACTAGGTGGTTTGGAGGGTTTGTTCGGTGCTTACGGGATACGTTTTTACACGGCGGCGAAGATAGCGGAGCTAGGTTTTACGGCGAGTACGCTCGTGGATATGAAAGATGAGGAGCTTGAAGAAATGATGAATAGTCTCTCTCATATCTTTCGTTGGGAGCTTCTCGTTGGTGAACGGTACGGTATCAAAGCTGCCGTTAGAGCTGAACGGAGACGAGTGCAAGAAGAAGAGGAGGAGGAAGCTTCTCGACGCCGTCATATGCTACTCTCCGCCGCTGGTGATTCCGGAACTCATCATGCTCTTGATGCTCTTTCTCAAGAAGGTACAATTTCAAATTGTATATTTGATTATATATCTGATTACTCTCTAGTTTTGCAACAAAAAATATCATATCATATCTACTATGTTCACGTGACCAAGTAGATATATATGATAGTTGTGAAGAACTCAATTTTATGATTAGGCTTTTGCTATATACATATACATATCGTTATTGTTTTAAGTCTCTTGAGTGTGAACATATGTATATCTTATGATAATACAAAATATTTTGCGGAGAAACTCAAATATATCGTCATAATAATCACAAGAAAGAGAACAAATATTGATTTAGAGCTACTGTGTGTATAGAATATAGTCTGGTTTTACTAACTCGACCTAGTGCAAGAAGCTAGTACGAGGATTAATATCGGGTACACCGTACACAACAAATACAAATTAAGAGTATATATACGCATAAATTTAACCTTTTATGTAGAAACAGTTTTTGTGAATGTGACAAAGTATATGGTAGATGATTGGACAGGCTTATCAGAGGAACCGGTGCATCATCAAGACCAAACCGATGCGGCCGGGAACAACGGCGGAGACCGCGGAGGAGGAAGTAGTTATTGGGAAGCAGGTCAAGGAAAGACGAAGAAGAACCAGCAACAACAACAAAGACGTAGAAAGAAACCGATGATGACGTCAGTGGAGACCGACGATGACGCAAACGAAGGTGATGATGATCAAGACGGTAACGGAGTTGGTGGTGGGTTGGGGATGGAGAGACAAAGGGAGCATCCGTTTATTGTAACGGAGCCTGGGGAAGTGGCACGTGGCAAAAAGAACGGTTTGGATTATCTTTTCCATTTGTACGAACAATGCCGTGAGTTCCTTCTTCAAGTCCAGACAATTGCTAAAGACCGTGGCGAAAAATGTCCCACTAAGGTATCTTTTCCATTTTCTCTTTTTAATTAAATTTGTGATTTTTAAAACCTATAAATTTTAATAAAATTGGTGTCGGAGTTTATGGGGTATGGTAGGGAAACTATAGTGCTATAATTATGGACAGCTGTAATAAAAGTAAGTTTGACAAGTCACGAGTTCATATGATTTTTTCTTATATAAAAAAAAATTGTTTTTGCTATGTCTGGCAAAAATTTATAGGTTCTGAATATTTATTTTATGTTTTGTTTTTTCATACTGTCTTCAGAATAAATGTAGTTAGATTTCAATTTAAACTTTTGACAGTCATCGTACGACGACGTGTCGAGTCAGGGAAAGGACACAGTCGTTTTTGTTTTGTTTTTGGCTAAAACGACATGAGATAGTAAGATACAAGATGTCCTCATGCATTACATACAAATTTTCTGCATGCATTCACACGCACCCAC